CTAATTCGTTGGGCTATGTCGGTCACTCTGGTTCTACTGCGGACATCCTCATTTCTAAGTTTATCACGCAGAGACACCCCGAGCATAGCACTCTCCATAGCTCGCTGAGTGACTTTGAGCGTCCCCATACGGCCAGCAGTAAAGGAACACGTCTCAGTTCCATAGGTCATCACTGGCAATACGCACTGGTTGTGATATTTCGTTTTCAGGTTTTGAGATATACCTGACGATGTAACGTAATTTCCCGAACGCTGCCCAGCCGAGTTTAATCCGTCGATTGACCTCTCGGTCGTAGTTGGACTTACCTAGTTGGACTATTTGTCCTAGGTAAACGTACTCGTCAACTACTTCGAGCTTAGTGCTCCCAACAACTACGGGCATAGGTGTGACATGGACATTAAACATGATCTTTGTTTTGTCCATGTTCATCTTAATACCTATCCGTAGAAAGGCACTATTGAGGTCATTGAGCATAGCGCTTAGCTCCAGTGATTCTGCCATAAGTACTATATCGTCGGCAAATCGAAGGTGAGTGATGTACTCGCCATTGACGTTAATACCGTATCCTTTCCAGTCCAGTAGCTTGAAAACGTCTTCCAATGCAGCGGTGAAGAGTTTCAGGGATATAACCCTGTCATACACCTCTCTGCAGTTGGATAGGTTCGTACTCTGGTTCTGTACTCGGATAACCATCGTAGCCCTACTGCACAAACACTTCAGCACTTCGATATACTGACAGTCAACTTGGCACCGCTGAAGAGATTTTAGCACCGCCTGAACTCCGACGGAATTAAAGGCTTTCTCATAGTCCACTTACGGTAGGCAAAGTGACTGTACTCTTCGGACTTTTGTACAAGTTGCCGAAGGGTATGTATGTGGTCTATGGTGCTAAAGCCTTTTCGGAAACCGGCTTTTTCGGGAGAATAGAAGTCGTCGAGTCTGCGTGCAAGACGACTCGTAATGACTCTCGAAAATAGCACGTAGATGCAGCTAGAAGGGATATCAGTCTGTGGTTCTTCAAGAGAACGTTGTCACCTTTCTTGAAGAACAAGACCACCACACTTCTGCTCCACGCCTTGGGAATAGTTCCAACATGGAGGACGAAATTAAAGAGCCTCTGAAGAACTTCAAGTACCGGTTTTCCACCCGCTTTCAGAAGCTCCGCTGTAATTCCATCCTCGCCTGGACTTGCTGTTTTATGGTGCTGGAGAGCCATTCTAATCTCGCTCAGACTGACGTCCGGGATATTATCGGAATAGTGTCGGATAAGACTTGTTCTTGGATCGTTACTCACATTTGCGTGTGGCTTCAACGATGATGTGTACTGCTGCCTATAGAACCTCTCAATCTCACTCAAAAACTCAGGTGTCCCGGAAACGATGCCGCCACACTCAGTCTTCAGCTTTGACAGTTGGCTCTATCTGGTAGACAGATCTTGGGCAAAGACTTTGGAGCCCCGGTTCCGCTCAATCGCTTCTTAAATACAAGCTGTATTGAAGTTGCGTAAGTCCAGTCGCATGCATTTGGAGATGTCTCTGTTCAGTTGCCTGTATACTGTCAAATCTGCTGACGACTGCAGCTTCATCTCCCGTCTAATATCCATGAGATTAAGAGTGTGCTCGGAGAGTTTTTGTGGACTTCTGCGGTGGGTCTTGCAGAACTTAGCTCCGACCGCATGGGTAGTTTCCACGAGCTTATCATTCATATCGTCCACTGTATTGCAGTCTACTAGGCACTGAAAGCGATTTTGTAACTCGAGCTGAAAGGTTTTGGATTCTGGATCAGAGCACGAGGGGGACGGAGCGTTGACTTCATAAGACGAGACCTCTCCAACTTAACGATTAGGTTCAGTGTGCTTCTAACCATTTGGTGATCACTGCCAGTTTTCACCCTCGCGATCACTGAGACATTACTGAACAATTCGCTTCTGGTCGTCACAATGAAGTCAATCTCATTTTTTGTCGAACCGTCGGGGCTCGACCAGGTCCACTTCCTGTGGGGCCCCTTCTGGAATAAAATATAGATAAAGAAGAAAAGATCTGGAATAAAATATACACAAAGAGTCCCTCTTTCTCCATGAAGTCGGTCAGCTGCTGGACTCTTGGGTTCCATTGCCCTACCCCAAATCTCCCTAACTTCAGCTCACTGCTTTCTTTCGTGCCTAGTTTTGCGTTAAAGTCTCCCATCAACACCGTATAGTAGGTTTTGGAGGAATGCATGGCTCTAGAGATATCCTCATAAATTCCCTCCACCTCCTCATCGAGATGTGCCGAGATTGGTGCGTAAGCCTGTATGACCTGCAGCGAATACCGTTTGGTGATTCTGAGTATCAGGTACGCGACTCTCGCCGACACAATAAATGCAGAAGAGGGCCATTAGAACTATTTACAACCTTAAACCGAGATAGACTCTTAGAGAAAAATCTAAAGAAATATGTAGAAAGATTAACTTTGACCTCTCAGTATATCTATGAAAATTTGATGTATGTCCACAAAAACTAAAGTAGTTTTCTTCGATCAACAATACCAACTAGATGTTGGGTTTACGCAAGAAATCCATCTCAGTAAATAAGAGCGCACATGAGACGTGAGCTCTAGCACGTGAGAGTGTAGCTCGCAAGGCAATAACGGGAAAAAGAACTTTATTTGTTATAATTTGAGGTTGATTTCACACTAAATGTTATTTAATTTATGTCTTTTCATAGTTTATATTCATGCGGACAGTATTTAGCTATGATTTTGTAGGTGACCCGTTATCTAGTTGGTATTGTTGATTGAAGGTAGTTTTAGTAATAAAAGTGTCATACACTCTGTAAATACTAGGAACAAACACAAGCTAGTGATGCCAGTTTATCGGCTCCACAGAATCAGTAATTCATTCTTGGGGCAATGTATACGCTATTACAACAAAGTCCCAGAAAATATAATAGGTCTCTCTATTACCAAGTTTATTTAATTAAACAAAAACTGTATAAAAAGGGTTATTATGATATAAATGAATACATGGTTGATAATAACCCCTGGGAATGAGGTGGTCGCTTCCAAGCTGTTTCTAAAATAAATTTTGTAAATATTTCGTGACCCTTGACATTGTAAAAGACATTTTAAAAAAAAGTCCCGCTGGGTTCTTCCTGGTTCTTACCAGGACAGAGGTTTTTTTTTCGAACCAGTGGTAAAGTAACATATTGACTTTCAATAAGAATCACTTGTAATCTATATTGAAAAAAAAATATTTTATTTTATTTTATTTATTCTCTCAATCTCTACAACGTCGTTGACGAGAGACTTGTGGACGATAAATCCGACACCTCCTTGGGACAGATGGTCGCCCTCCCGGTCATAGAACAAGTTGCCGGACTCGAGGATTACCGTGTTCTCCACCTGTCTTCGGACGTCGGATAATCCTTTAATATATCAGCGCAACTTGTCTACCTCTTCTTCCAGCTCCAGTATCTTCTCGTCAGTCCTCAGGGTGCGCGCGTTATATGTTGCAAGGTCGAGTCGTCGTACGTGGCAACCGAACTCCACCGGAGATCCTTAGCACTCCCTGCCTCGCCGTTACGATGGTTACCACCGTAGCCAGGGGACGCCAGGGGACTGGGGGCTGTTTGTTTGTGTCGTTGCTTATGGGGGGATTTTTGCCATGGTTGCCACGCTTGGCGAGCGGGTTGGCAACCGTAGTTTTTTATTGTGTAATTGTTATTATTAAGAAGATGCTGCTGCCCATCTCCTGCCTGCCTCCCTCTGTCTCCTCTTATGACACCCACGCTACAATTCATTCACGCAAATTAAATTGCAATAATCGTAGTTTAGAAAACATACAATACACATGATAATAATAGTATGAAATATTTGTACGTTGAATGGAAACATGAATCACGAAACTCTCTTAATAGTATTAATATCTTATTTCAATTAATTCAAATTTTTGAAACAGAAAACACAAGTGATTTTAAAACACTGTTTTGTTTATATCATATTTGCAGAAGTAACTTTCTCTCCTTTTTTAATTATCTTATAAAACTTGATAAAAAGTAATTTATCAAATATGACAACGTTTTGACGTTCTTCGAATGGCATTCAATCGTAAGAAATAACAAATGCTTTCCATTACCATTACAACCTAAAATAGTATACTGCGGAACATAGGCTTCCTTCGTTGATTGCCTCAGTTTTGCCATAGTTGCCGCATTTGGCGGGCGGGTTGGCAACCTAAGTTTAGTATTGTTGCGCGCTTAAGTTGATGTCTGGTACCCGGCACTAGCGCCATCTAGTATCGGGGAACAGAGCGAGGAGAGCTTTCTAGAAAATGTCACGCTGGAACTTTCCACCTCCAGCGCCATCTAGTATCGAATAGAAGAACTAAGCTTTCTGGAAAACTCCACACTCGAACTTTCTCCACTTGGTCGGTCGGGACCAGTATTTTCTGGAATATTCTGGATGTTCGTTCGTTGGAAAAAGCCTATATAAAGCCGTTGAAAGCCGCGATCGGGGCAGTATTGAATTAGCGATACGAGCGAAGCTTTCGGAGTGTAATAAAGTGAACTAAAATGTTAAGTGTGAATAATTATTAGTGTGATTTAAGTTTTAATTGGTGTTCAGTAATTAAAGTGTCAATTTTGGTAATTCAATCGGCAGTTTTTATTGTCACGAACCCTAAGCTCGTAACAGTATTATTTTGTGTTGTTATCAGGAAGATGCTGTTGCCAATCACCTCTTTAGTTTTCCTCCGTCACCACTTACGACACCCGTAGGACGAGATTGGGGTAGTGGTCAAATACCGCCACTACACAATTAATTAGCCTTAGTATATATTTTTTAAATAAAACTTACATTGTTTAATTCCATTTTGATCTTCCCGCTCACAGAGTATGGATCTACCTTAAAACAAAAGGTCGTGAGGCGATATTAATACACATACCACTAGTCAACACAGTATTATCAAGACAATTGCATAAATTAGAACTAAAATATAGGAGTTATTATGCACAAATGGGTTTAATGAGATATTTATGTGTATTTTTAAGCGTTTGGTGTTTACATTTTATTTACATATTTGCCTACCACATCAAAGTATATCAGGTAATGTTTTTATTACTTTTACTACATTCATACAATTGTTAATATAGAGTTAATTTTATCACACTAACGTATCCCCTCGTCTTTTTACCCGCGTGTATGTTGTGACGTCCAGACAGTCTAGACCTACGCTTATTATGAGATCGCATAATACGGAGATTTTAAATTAGACTAAGGCCTTTCGAATACTAAAAAACACTCTAACAACCTTTCTTTTCGTACAAAACGCAAAAGCCAAAATACCAATTTTATCGACCCACTTTTTAAGGGTTAAAGGGGGCAGATTTTGTAAAGTTCTAAAATATGTAGTATACATAATTATTATAATTTCGTTTAAAGAGTTTTGCAATTTAAAAAAAAACTTATTTTAATTCATTGTTACATAAATACTATTAACTTATTTTAGTTCAGTTTTTCATTATTTTAATCCAAAAGCAAGTTTACCAATATTAAAGTTACTATAATCGCTTGATAATATTTCACCATACAAATATGAAATCATAAAATAAAAAGTATCGTACTGATAAATGTTATGTTCTAATTAACGATATTTATTCCAGTTTATGACAACTACTTATATTATATTTTTAAGTTACAATGAAACGTTATAAAATCCGTGAAATTGTTTTTCTTCTTCCTCTTCTGTCAGAATATTGTTAAATCTTTCTAAATCATCAACAATATCATTAAAGCTCGATTTATATTATTAATATTAAAAATAATAAAATTATATTTTTAATATTTAAAGAAAATTTTAAATTAAAGTTACTATATGCTCCTAGTTACTTCTATAAAGTTGCATATTAATAAATATATTTTCTATATTAAGTCAAGTGTTTATGAAAAACGTTATCATTCATGTCTTAGCAAAACTTGAGCGAAATATTATAAAAAATCTTATATACCTATATACCCGATATCATTCTACTAGCTATCTTATTTTATCCAATAACCAACAAGAGTGTTGCTGTGAATTTAGTAATAGCTTCAAAATCAACACTGTCACGCTTTGAATAGGAATCGTTATCAAGTCGTACATACGCACAAATATTTATATACAACAAAGTTACAGTAGTCTTGCGAAAATACATATTACATAATTAACAATATCAAAGTACTATTAAATCCGTGTTTATCAGTGATATAATATGGTAAGTTCAGTAATATTGATTAGCATTCAGCATCCACCATAACTATTCACATTTTCCTACTTCTCTATTATAAATATAAAGATGACAAAGTGTACACACTTAAAATATATTACGAATGTATATTATGTACGTATTTTACTATTGATGTAAGAAAATTTAATCAATAATATGAACGCAACACAGTGTAGTCATGACCTCATAACTCATTTATGTTCTGTTCATGACATTGGCAATTGGCAATGACAAACACACAAGGTGCATTTACGTAGAACGCTGTCGTTTAAAAGTTTAACAATGCAAGCTAGATAGAAAATTATTTTTAAAATAAAAAGAGAGTATTTACCAGAACATTTAGAATTTGTATTTAGAATTTGTAAATAAATACATACTTTTTATTTAATACAACGAATGTTTGGTTTTTAATTTTATAATTTTAATTTAATACTTTCATATTTTCTGCATTTTTGTTTACCAATCTGTTTTTATTAATAAATAATATCACAATTATATACAAAGTAGTCAAATAGTGTCATAATTAATAATTCTTGCCTACTACTACTAATTCTTCCTTTCCGTTTGCTGTGTATTATGAATCTGTGGATGGTTAAGGCCATCCGCCTGTCGTAAAATTGTACGCAATATGTCAATATTGTAACTAACGTATTTCAATTGTATTATTTAATTTCAGTTGATACCCTTTTAATTTCTCATTACTTATTATAATATGATGTCGGTAAGTGGTTATAAGTACGATTTTAAGTGTTACCGAAACCATGCTCAACTTCGTAACACACACCACGCACATATCTTTCTTCTTTCTTTCTTTAACAGCCTTAAAAAGTTCACGGCCTAGACTCACGTTGTTGGTGGCAAATGACTTTAGATTCATATATTTATGTACATGAGTGCGTGTGCTTATTAGAGTGGAGCGCCGTTGTATGAAAAATTTTTTTTTTTATTTTAAATCGTAAAAGCGCGGAATTAGTGCATTATGATTAGAGTCAGCTTACCTTTTTTTTCTACTCAATTGAATAACATCTTCTGCCTCCGCAGGGGCCTTAAAGTTTAATGTTTTATCGAAAAAGTTTAGTATGTTTGGGCTAAGATAAATAATGATAAATAATGAATGACAAGCTCGTGGAAACTGTCCATGCGGTCGGAGCTAAATTTTGAGTGAGATTGAGAGGTTCTATTGGCAGCTGTACACATCATCGTTGGAGCCACACGCAAGTGTGAGTAACGATCCAAGAGCAAGTCTTATCCGACACTATTCCGATGATATCCCGGACGTCAGTCTAAGCGAGATTAGAATGGCTCTCCAGTACCTTAAAAACGGCAGGGCCCCAGGCGAGGATGAAATTACAGCTGAGCTTCTGAAAGCGGGTGGAACACCGGTACTTGAAGTCCTTCAGAAGCTCTTCCATTCCGTCCTCCATGGTGGCACTACTCCGGAGGCGTGGAGCAGAAGTGCGGTGGTCTTGTTCTTTAAGAAAGGCGACAACGCGCTCTTGAAGAACTACAGACCGATTTCCGAGCCGCGTCTACGTGCTGTTTTCGAGAGTCATTACGAATCGACTCGCACGCAGACTCGACGACTTCCAGCCTCCCGAACAAGCCGGTTTCCGAAAAGGCTTCAGTACCATAGACCACATACATACCCTGCGGCAGATTGTACAGAAGAATGAAGAGTACAATCTGCAACTTTGCCTGGCGTAAAGCCTTTGATTCCGTGGAATTTTGGGCGTTGCTACAGTCCCTTCAGTGGTGCCAAGTTGACGGTCGGTATATCGAAGTGCTGAAGTGTTTGTACAGTAGGGCTACGATGGCTATCCGAGTACAGAACCAGAGCTCGAAACCTATCCAACTGCAGAGAGGTGTAAGACAGGGTGACGTTATATCCCCGAAACTCTTCACCGCTGCGTTGGAAGACGTTTTCAAGCTACTGGACTGGAAAGGATACGGTATTAACATCAATGGCGAGTACATCACTCATCTTCGATTTGCCGACGATATAGTCCTTATGGCAGAATCGCTGGAGGACTTAAGCACTATGCTAGATGACCTCAAAGTGACACGGATAGGTCTTAAGATGAACATGGACAAAACAAAGATCATGTTTAATGTCCATGTCACACCTATGCCGGTAGTTGTTGGGAGCACTATGCTCGAAGTTGTTGACGAGTACGTTTACCTGGGACAAATAGTCCGACTAGGTAAGTCCAACTTCGACCGAGAGGTTAATCGACGGATTCAACTCGGCTGGGCAGCGTTCGGGAAATTACGACACATCTTCTCGTCAGGTATACCTCAATCTCTGAAAACTAGATTGTACAACCAGTGCGTGTAGCCAGTGATGACTTACAGATCTGAAACGTTGTCCTTCACTGCTGGCCGTATGAGGACGCTCAAGGTCGCTCAGAGAGCTATGGAGAGGGCTATGCTCGGAGTTTCTCTGCGTGATAGACTCAGAAATGAGGATATCCGCAGTAAAACCAGAGTGACCGACATAGCCCAACGGATTAGTAAGCTGAAGTGGCAATGGGCCGGCCATATAGCTCGAAGAACCGATAACCGATGGGGAAGAAAGGTTCTCGAGTGGCAGCCTCGTACCGGTAGGCGTAGTGTAGGGCGACCCCCCACTAGATGGAGTGACGACCTGGTAAGATATGCAGGAAGTCGATGGATGCAGGTGGCTCAGGACCGTGCCTTGTGGCATTACTTGGGGGAGGCCTATGTTCAGCAGTGGACTTGTGAAGGGATGTAATGATGATGATGATGATGGGCTAAGATAAATAATAAATAAGAGTTAACTAGAGATTATAAATAAAACTCAATAATATAGTTAGAATACTTACAATGTAATTTAATAAAAAAAATGAAAGAAAATTCAATCATAATATGTTTTAAAAATCAAATCGTTAATTTGCCTAAAAATTTCGTCTTGAATTTTGGCATTTTCTTACGTGATTCCAATTTGGCTTTTAAGGCCCCTAATCGTGATGAATCCTTACAATGAGGAACGGCCGCTTCTGTCGTCAACTTCACAGCTCACTCAATAGTCTGGGTATGACATGGGAGACGTAAAAAAAAGTTCACCCTCACCACCAGATTGGACTATTTTCTGAATTTCTTGGTCACTTAAGTATTTAAAGATCGGCGATTCTGTAATGATGTGTTGCCAATTTATCATATCAATGTAGGTTGTTGCAATTGAAATTAATATCAGGCATCTCGAATAGCCTTGGTGCAGGGGATTGCTATATACTCTGTGCTTTTAATATACGCCGGGCCGCCAATTCACGAATGTGCTTTTTATCATCTATAATCATTGCAAGTAGCAAAATTCTCAGGTTGTGCGAAGTAGCTATTGCGTTAAATGACGGGGTTGATCACTTTTTTTAAAGATTATGACAAATACCTGGAGGCAAATATAATTTTAAATAGATCTCGAGCTCCATCTTTACATTATGGTTTAATCATAATCGAGAACCAAGCTGGGGCGTAAACTTTTACGACAAATGTAGCCAGAGCAATTAAATTCTCTGATTGTTTCTCTGTTGCTACATACAAATGTAGGGTTCAGCACTTAATTCAGCATTGTGTGAAAAAATGTGATGATGAAGTACACACATGGAGACCTGTTTGCTAGATCTTCTGGAAAAGAAACTTAAGACGACACATCGAAAACGCTATCGCCGTACTGATCCGATTGAATACATAATTTCTATAAAAACTTGAAGAAACGCCGTCATAAGGTCTAAAATTGCGTAGCGTCCGCGACGATTAAAAGCGCTTAAAAATTGTCAGAATCTTAAAATATTTTAAAAAAATTATTGATTTTAGTTATCAAAATCAATGCGCGACAAATCACCTCCCGTACGTGCAACAAAAATTACTTCATGACCTTGATTTGAAATAAGTTTACGTAACTTGGTTTTTTATTGATTTACAATGAAAATATACTATATTTTAAATTAAAATGTAAAACAAAATGTTACAATTTATTTAATAATAGCATATTTACATAGCGTTAGTCCAGGGTCGAAAATCATCTTTTTATATAATTTCAATGACCTTGCGGAGGCAGTTACTCTGCATCAATCTAAATAATATTTTGCATGAGTTATTTTGATTCCTAAATGCACCTGGTATTACATTATGATGAGGTGAAAAAAATTTTTTCGCTCCACCCTAGTGCTTATAATAAGTTGAGTACAGTTTTGGCTTGACTTTTGTGTCACTTGAAATGTACATAGTTCTCCAGCTTCCTTCCTTTATTGGCCTGATGTCGTGTATTGAATATTCTGCTTTTTTAATAAAAACTCCAAAAATTTACATATTTTGTATTTTTTTTATTTTTATTACACATCTTTCTTTTTTCGTTCTTTCTTTAACACCCCTAAAAAGTTCACTACGCACTTTGCTTACACATATACTTAAAAGCTGTTGCAAATGATTTTAGATGCATGTGTACGTGAGTGGTGTGTTTTTACAATAAGTTGAGCATGGTTTTGAATTAGTTCTTGCATCTTTGTCATGTACGCAGCTGTCCAATTTCCTTCCATTGTTGATCTGTGGTCAGATATTGGATATGCATTTTTAAATGAAATATAAAATAATTTAATTTACAAGATTTTTATTCAAATTTTTTACACGAACTCATAAATCTTTTTTTTTCTTTTTTTCAGGCAAAATCAATTAGTCCACGCGTATGCATAATTGGTGCTGGAATTGCAGGACTAACTTCTGCTAGATATTTGAAGGAAGAAGGAATAAATTTCACCGTTTTAGAAGCCACTAAATATATAGGCGGTACGTGGAGATATGAACCAAGGGTTGGCTTTGATGAAAATGGTTTACCTATACATACAAGCATGTACAAGCATTTAAGGTGACAACAATATTTAAGGAAATATAAAATTTCCACATTTATTCAATCTGTTTAGTGTGCATATTTATCTGGTGGAGCCAATGTGTAATTTATTATTATTTTTATTTAGGTTAAAGGTTAAAGGCCTTGTGTGAAAAATCACAGCACTTTGAATAGGGGGATATTTGCCAAAGATTTTTACGTGGTAGAGCCACGCTGCAACTATATTACGGCTGCAGAACGAATAGGTCGGCTCGTGTGAAGTAAGACCACACTCTCACAGAATACCGGCATAAATGGAATAACTGAAATTGGCTATCGCAAGCTAGGAGATAGACAGTCATCGTGGCGCTGTGTTTCCTGTAAGACGTCTCAACAATCAACCCGGCCTGGATCACCACTTCCTGAAACTACACGTCAACTTACTCTTGATAATGTTATGATAGAACTGCAGAAGCTTTCGTGCCAATTACTGCCCCTTCAAGAAGTCATCAATGATATTCGAATAATCAAAAACGATATTTCAGATCTACGTAAATCTAACAACAATATGCTAGAAAAGCTTGATAGCTTTGAAAAAAGACTTCAAGTAGTTGAAAATGCTGGGCAAAAAATATCGTCTCTAAAGGATCCGATAAATAAGATGGAAGCAGAAATTAATGAAAAAGATCAGTGGCTTCGATCAAATAACGTCGAAATCAAAGGAGTACCATTTAAACCTGGGGAGAATCTTTTTGATATTGTAACTAAATTAGGATCTATAATAACCTATACTGTGTTGAAGAGTAACATTAATTATGTAACACGTGTTCAGACGCGAGATGCTGGATCGAACAAGACCAAGCCTATTATTCTTTCTTTTATCAACAAATATATGAAAGAAGACTTCATCGCAGCTTCTCACCTGAGTAAACATATTTCTACGGAAGATATTGGTCTAAAAGGAAACACCCGTATTTACATAAATGATCACCTTAGTTATTCCAAAAAGATGCAGTTGAATAAAACTAAAACTGCTGCAAAAGAAAAAAACTACAAATGCGTATGGGTCAAGCACGTGAAGATATTTGTGAGGAAAATCGATACATCGCATGTCTACAATATAAAATCGGAATCGGACCTAGTCAAGCTGCGTTAACTTACAAATACTCCTTTGTTTATTTATTACATTTAAGTAACCGCCAGAAACCTTTCCGACAGAACCCTTTAATTTGTGTGCATGCAATTTGTGTTCCTATTATCTTTATAACAGGTATCACTTCTCACACTGCAACTGTAAGTAAATACGATCAGTTCTATATTAATTTATTTTCTAAGAACTACTTCCACTAATGCCATTCATTGCTTTTGGTTATATTTTCGTATATATCGGGTCGCCTTTTCCTTCTCAGCGCAGTAAACAATACTTATAACGGTGTCACTTGTTTACTACCGTCTTATTATATAGTAGTATATTATATATTTTATGAATTTGATAAAATAAAAGTATCTAGTGGCTGTAATTATATTACATTGTTAATTACTGGTATTACTAATCTTAGCTATTCAATTTATTCATTTGTATTTTCACAATTAATATTCTGTACTAAAGCCGTGAATTTCGACAACCGCTTTAATTTCTGTCTATTGCCGCTTATAGTATCAAACTTGGTTTATAAAACAAATGTACCTATTGCATATTATTTTCATATAAGATGGTATAGGAAAAAAATAGTAAATTATTACCGTGCACTTGTGGTGCATTCAATAAGTGTACATGACACAATTTTAATGCTTGAAAATTTATTTATAACTTTTTATTTAGTTGTTACCGTATATTTATTTTTTACACGAATAACCAACAAATACTTTATCTGGCACTATAAGTTGAAATTCTTATGTATAAATTTTATTCTTTTATTCATATTGAATGTTTCAAATAATCATGATGGCTTCCTTACACGTTTACTACCAAAATGTTACGGGCCTTAGATCGAAAACTCGTGAGTTTTATCGTAATGTTGCAACTAACATTAACTGAGACCTGGTTATTGGATGGCATATTTGATGCGGAATTATTCGATGATCGTTATTGTGTTTGGCGTCGCGATCGTGATCTTAATCGAACTAAACAATCGCGAGGCGGTGGTGTGCTTATAGCGTGGACTTGTCAGGTGTGCCCTCACATAAGCTTCAATTAAAATTAGGCGTCCCAGTCATGCTAATGCGAAATTTAGATGCTCCTCGGTTATGTAACGGGACAAGGCTGCGTGTGACACATCTTGGACGGTACATAATCGGTGCTACAATTTTGACAGGCGTAGGAAAAGGTGAAAATGTTATTATACCACGGATCCCTATAATTCCCACAGATCTTCCTTTTCAATTCAAAAGGTTGCAGTTCCCTATTAAGCTCAGTTTTGCAATGACAATTAATAAAGCGCAAGGGCAAACGTTACAGGTAGCGGGGGTCAACTTAGAAAAACCGTGCTTCTCTCATGGTCAGCTGTATGTAGCATGTTCCTGTGTGTTAAATACCCAGAATCTCCACATTCTTTCCCTGAATGGAAAAACATATAACATTGTGTACAGTAGCGTCTGAAAATAGTGTTCAGATAGTTTTTTTTTTCAAAATTCCCACAATCAATTAATCAGAATTCCCATACATCTTCCCTTTCAATTCAAAATTTCCTATTTAGCTCAGTTTCTTTTCAATTCCAAATGCTGCACCTCTAACGGACCTATTAAGCTCAGTTTCCTTTCAATTCAAAAGGCTGCATCTCTGACGGATCTTTTATTTGGCTCAGTTTCCTTTCAATTCAGAAAACTGAATCAATTTAGCTCAGTTTCTTTTCAAAAGTCTGCATCCCGGACGGATAATTATGCTCAGTTTCCTTTAATTAAAAAAATATCCCACTTCCATTTGGAATAAACAGGCTATTTTCACGCTTTCCTATACGCTACGTTTCAGAACATTTAAATAGGCTCACGAATCAAATTTTGATCAGTTTCCTTTTAATGGCTGCATCTCTGACAAATCTATAAAACTCAGTTTTCTTTCAATTCAAAAAGCAATGGATAGTTCATTTCCCAGTGACCATGCGGGCGAAGCCGCGGGTAACAGCTAGTTTAATAATCGGCCAAATTTTCAGAGAAGATTCAGGTAGATAATACGAGTGTAGGCAAATTGCAAAGAAAATTTAATTAAAAAAATTTGTCCTTTTTATCTTTCAAATTCAAAATGCATGGTAATGCACTATTTTAATCTTTAAAAAAATAATGATTTCACGTCGTTGCTCATAAATCATAAATTTGGGATAATTTCAAAAAAGTAGAAACAATTTACGCATATTTTCAAAAACTGCAGTAACAGAATATCATATCATTTTTTATAAATTTGAACTTAGGTTACTCTTTGAAAAATAACCTTGTATTATATCTTATATTACAATATATATTTTGATAAAAAATGAGCGTTTAATATAATAAAAAAAAAACGATCACGTGCATACGCCCGTCTCGGCCAGTATTTTTATTGTGTTTGTTGAATTTCATCACTTGATAATTTTGGCTGATTCTACACGTATTCCTCAAAATTCATGATTCTCTTGAAGTTTTTAAACGGTCTTCAAAAATGCACTAAACACTGATAAGCTCTGTTCTATGCATTTCCATCTGTAATAAAATGCAATGCAATTCAGAAAATGGTCCTATCTTTTTAAACCCTATTTCTCTAATTTTAATCAATTAAGGAATAAAAGAGCTATACTTTTTTTATAGGATAAGGTGACAAACGAGCACACAGTCCACCTGATGGTAAATGGTTGCTGCGGCCCATGGACATCTACATCTATCCTCGATTACAAATCAAAATGCAGATGCGTTGTCACCCATGAGGACTGAGATGGAATGCCTCGTTTCCAGTAAAAAGGGTCTCCGGTTCTCTACACTCACCGTACGAAATACAGCAGCATTAAGCTACTATTTCATGCTGGTATTCTGTGAGAGCGTGGTCCTTCCCCGGTAGAGCTGACCCATTCATGATACAACTATACTACTAATATGCAGCATGGCTCTACCACGTAAAAATAGTCATGACATGATATACTTCAATTAATGAATTTATTCTCACATAAAGAAAAAGTTAACTTAAAGTGCTTAACTTTTTTTGGCCAACCGCATTTTTTATTATTATTGTTGAGTTTATATCAGCCACGGTAGCTTTGATGGTTAGCGCTTGCTGTAAATTTCACACTACGCAAGCAACCCGGGCTCCATCCCCGCCGGCACCAATGAAATATTAATGTAAATTGCAAATTTAAGTGGTGATTAACGACGTGCTCGGCGGTGAAGAAAAACATCGTGAAGAAATCTGCACGTCTGAGAAATAAAAAAATATTTTGAAGACATGTGAAGTTCGCTAACGCGCATTTTCGTTACAATAATTTTTTCGCTAAAAGTACGTAGAATTTCGGTATAAATATACTTATACGTCTTGGACTTTATGGAGTGACTTATAGGTCACTACATACAGTCCCAAAGTATTTTTATACATGGTAGAGCCATGCTGTAGCTATATTAGTACTCGTAGAGTTAGTTGTAGCACGAATGAGTTGGCTCGATCAGGAAAGGACCACGCTCTCACAGAATAACAGCGGAAAATAGCAGCTTGGTGCTGCTGTGTTTCGTATGGTGAGTGTGGAGATCCGCAGACCCTTTTTACTGGAAACGAGGAATTCCATCTTAGTCCTCAGGGGTGACAACGCATTTGAGTGTTGATACTTAATCGAGGATAAATGTAGATGTCAAAGGGCCTCAGCATCCACTTACCATGAGATGGACTGTGTGCTCGTTTGTCACCCTTATTCTATAAAAAAGGTGTACTTCGGTATCTGCTACTAGAACTTCTCGAAAAGTAGGACTAGGTGTGCCGAGTTTGGCTTCGTTTTGTTATTTATGATGAGAGATCTTACCTCCGCACTGGATAGAGTGACCTGAAGGTGTACTTTGGTGGATGGCAAATTAAAATACTGGTCATTACAAGATGAAAAACTTTTTGTAAACGAAATTAAGTTGATGAGAAACAAATTTATTAACGAGTCAGGTAAGAAAAGCTAGTTTTTACGATAATGTCTGAGTACAAATATCCAAAAATTAAAAATATTAAAGATGATTTCTGATCGTTTTAAGACCATTCTATTAAAAGCTTTTTCAATTAACAATAATAAAAACAATTTTTGAATCTCAATATTAATTACATAAAAAAAAATTTCTACAGTTTTTCACGATTATAAGCATTATGAGAGGTGCACTTTTGGATTTTCCAAACTTTTTTATTGACGTTTGACCATTGATATACAAAAAAAGGGTTTTTTGTATATCAATGCGTGACATAAAATTATCGAGAACGTAATAGTAATAAGGTTATTTGTGAAAGCTTGTGTAACATGAGCGCCATACACATTTGAATTTACAAAAAGTTTTGTATTATATAGTTTACTTGACCTGGTGCAATGCTGCAATTCATCTAAAAAGATCGTGTATGTTAATAGGTCCTACATATGAAATTGGCATTTTGTACGAGAGGATAAAGTCAATTTTTTTTTGTACAATATATTTAATTAATCAAATATGCACCTTTGTTATCTGTGCACTTTTGCCATCCCATAGGTAGTTCATTGATCCCTTTACTAAAAAACCGTAGGGGCGAGAATCAATAAACTCTTTGAAGGCGGTTTGGGCTGCCGCATCGGAGTTGAATTTTTTTCCTTGTAAGAAGTTGTCCAAATTCCGGAAAAAATGGTAATCTGTTAGAGCAAGGTCCGGGGAGTACGGTGGATTTCGCAGACATTCCAATTGTAGCTCGTCTAACTTAGTGGTTGTTTGTTGTGCAGTGTGTAGTCTTGCGTTGTCGTGAAGCAGCAGTAGCCTAGAGCGATTGACCAATCTCGGTTGTTTAGCAGCTAGTTCTTCGTTCATTGTTTGCAGTTGCTGAAAACAGATATCTGCCGTAATCGTTTGGCCAGATTTTAAAAAGCTGTAGTGAACAATACCGGTGCTAGTCTACCAAACACTCACAAGTAACTTTTTCTGAATTAATTTTCGTTTAGGGCAGGATTTGGCTGGGTTTCCAGAGTTCAGCCATTGCGACGAGCGCTTCCGATTATCGTACAGTATCCACTTTTCATCACAAGTAATGATTCGATTTAAAATCCCTTCATTTTTGTGTCGGTAAAGCAAAGTAACACAGTAGTCGACGCGTGTTTGCAAGTTCGATTCACTCAATTCATGAGGTAACTACCCATCGTTCAAGTCTTCTGACTTTACCGATTTGCTTCAAGTGGATTTATACAGTTTTATCACTTACCCCGAAGCCTGCAGCTATCTCTGAAGTTCTTAGTGATGGATCCGCTTCCACAATAGCCTTTAATTCTTCATTTTCCACGTTGGTCACCGGCCGTCCACGGGGTTGGTTCTGAAGGTAGAAATTTCCAGAACGAAAACGTTGAAGCCAAAAACGTACCGTGCTTTCTTTTGCGACACCAGTGCCGTACACATCATTAATCCTTGGAGCTGTTTCTGCAGCACTGGGGCCACGGTAGAACTCGTAATCGTAAATATACCGATATTTCATGTTTTCCATTGTGCGGTAATAAGCGACGCCAAAGAAAAAAATAATGAAGGAAAAACAAGTGAATGACTGTTTTCAAAACTCAAACGTACCAGGTATATGAATTTATAAATTCGAATTTGGAATTCTTAACCAAAGAGGAGAATTTCAGATTAAAGTGGTCAGTAAGACAAAACGCTAATATCATATGTAAGGACCCAATACAATAAACCTCAAAATCTCAACACAAGTATACAAGTAGTGCGTATTGCCAGCGATGACCTATGAAACCGTATAAATACGAATATTCCAATTATAATATAATAGATAATATGATACTTTTTTACTTATTTTATTTTATTTTTTATTTTATAGCATAATTGTGCTATAGAAATAACTGATGGTATGTGGATGCTGTTGCCCATATACATCTAAATTTGTCTTCGATTAAGAATCGAAATACAGATGTTTTTTCCTCTCTGAGGACTAAGATGGAATAACTAGTTAAAAGGGTATCCCTTTTAACTGGAATGGTTTCTCTACACTAACCTTACGAAACACAGCAGCATTAAGCTGCTATTTTACGCTTGTATTCTGTGAGAGCATGGTCCTTTCCTGATCGAGCCAACTCATTCGTACTTCGTATTCGTATAACCATAATATAGCTGCGGCGTGGCTCTACCATGTGGGAACCTAAGTATAAGATAATTGATAGAATCAGGCGTTACTTTGCGGAAATCCATTATAATAAAAAATAAAAATATAAATTTCTTTGCAACTTTCCGCTAAACATATAAAATGATGTGTCTTACCTGGATTGAAGCGCACCTCCCGCCCTCAATTGCATACACTAACTCCGTCACCACTAGACCAAGCACCACTACTCTCAACACCACTATTCCAGGCAAGACACACCATCGACGATAATACGACACGTGTTTCGCCTCTACACGAGGCATCCTCAGGTAATATAGACTCTACGGCGGCTGACCGCTAAGTGAGCGGCGAGTTTTTTTTTTTTTTTTTTTGCGCCCGAAGCAATTAAAGGGCTACCCTATACGTAGGGAGGCGGAAAATGCATTACGCATACCACGATAGCCGGTCTATCGTGGTTATTGGGGACTCACTGTCCTACCGGGGACCCTAAGTGATACCCCCTAAAAACCGCCTTTGGGGACAGGCAGCCGGCTGATTAAGCTCTATTGTGCCTTATCATGAGCGACCCTCTTTTGGGAAAAGAGGGCGCAGGCGGCTAAGTGCCGCTGAGGGAGTGCCTACGAAGGCAAATTAATGTTAGTTATTACAATAATTTTATTTAATTAGAGTTGGCCTGAGCTGCCAGGAGACAGTTCAGGTCGTTTGAAAGTTTATTAGGCGGGTCCGAGAGAGAGTTTCTCGGCCTGCGGACACGATAGCGAGAAGGGGGTGGGGCTGCATAAGAAGCTGCCTCACGAATTAAATGGTTTGGGTGCAACTCTGAGGCTTTGAAGAAGTTCTCAGAGAGTTTTTTAAAAAATTGTTGAATTGTTGGGAGCTCTAAGTCCCGATGAAGGTCGGCATTACGGACGTACCAAGGTGCGTTCGCAGCTCGACGACAGAAGAGGTTCTGAACGAGTTCATTTAAAATATTTGGGTTTGCGTGGGCAAAAACTGGGCCCGCGTAGGACATGACGGGTCGTATACAGACCTTGTAAAGGGTATGCTTGTTTCGAAGGGACATTTTACTGTGTCGGCCCAACATACTGTTGAGCCTACTCAGATAAAATCGTGCGTGACGGGTTACTCTTTTGACGTGGGGCTTGAAAGTAAGCCCTGTGTCTAGAGTGACACCTAAATATTTGGCGGACGTATGCCAGGGGACAGGGGTCCCTAGCATACGTATTGGAGGAGTGTTTTTGAGACGGCGTCGTTTATAATCGAAGTGAACGGCGGAGCTCTTCTCCGGGTTCACATCGATGCGCCATTTTTTGAACCAAGCTCCTAGGTCATCAACTGACTTTTGGATCTTGTTCCGTATGAAGGGTAGTGAGACACCTTTGCAGTAGATGGCAGTGTCGTCTGCAAAGAGGGAGAGTTGAACACCTTTCGACGGGATGGGAATGTCGTTGGTGAACAGGATGTACAGCAGAGGAGCAAGTACTGAGCCCTGAGGGACACCAGCCTTGATAGTTCGCTGTGAAGAAAGCGTGCCTTCGTGTCTAAAACGAAAGAGCGGCGAGTCGAAACAGTTGCTATTTATACACGCAGATAATCGATTAAGATAACTCCATGACTATCCCAAAAAAAAACCGTCGACATCACTTTCCAAGCCGAAAAAATTTTTGCTTTTTTGGAGCCGGTTCCCCCTATGCAGTCCACTGTATTGACGGTATTTTTGTTTCGGGCGTATAATGGTGTATCCAAGTTTTATCTTCAGTAATTAATCGGCGTCAAAACTCGAACTTATTGCGACTAAACTACGCCAATAGAGTGTTTAAAATGTTCTTTCGAACAGGTTTTTGATCTAACGCGAGCAAACGCCCCAACGCACTCAACGTTAACACTAAATGTGATAAACACGTTCTTTGGACATTTTCAAAGCCTCTGCTATCTCTCTCACTGTACCTTAATGTCACGGCATGCGGTCGTCTAGCCACTTGTTAAAATTTAGCGATGTTTTTGTCAGTAGTTGCAGTTTTTGGACGTCCCGAACGTTCATCGTCTCCCAAGCTCTCACGGCCACGTTTAAATTCAGCTGCCCAAAATTTCACTATGGTAAATGATGGTGCCGAGTCTCCATACTCAAAGTCCAACTCATCTTTAATTTGTGTAGGCTTACTGCCTTTTAAATACAAAAATTTAATGACGGCTCGTTACTCAATTTTTTCCATTTTCACAAAAATCTCTCACTCAAACGACTGTCAAATAACTTCTACGCGTCCAAAATCGCTGAAATTCTCGTGCGTAACTGTCAAAATGCACAACTACATTCGCTAGCTTTATTGACGAGTGATGCCATCTTCACGTTGAGGTCAGAAACTTTTCAAACCGTTCTCGTATATTGGTCCTCAAATATAGAACATGTTGATAACTTGACTACAGCGCATCCTATCGGATTCTAGGATAGGTATGAATTATCGTCTTGATAAAAAAATGTGTGATTATGACCTCAATCGGTCAAATCGTTTATAACATAGACTAATATATAGGTAATAATGGAGAGTTTAAGTTTCACGATCACTATCAGAAGTACCAAATATTATATAATTTACAAATTTTAGTTTTTAAAAATCGTTGATATGATACGGACTCATGTGTACTTGTTATATCAAAGAGTATAAATTTGGAGTTATATATAATTATATAATATAGTTTTACTGGAGAAACATTTTATTTTCAGAACTAATTTACCGAAACAAACAATGGAACTTCGAGGATTTCCTATGCCAGAAGATATGCCGTCATTTCCTAGCTGGCAAATATATTACAACTATATTAAATCTTATGCAAATCATTTTGACATAGAGAAGCATATTAAGGTGATATTTATTAAGATATTTTGGTGTATATGGATATAAATGGTGAATTTAAAAAAAATAATTAAACTTTTAAAGTGAATTCTACAAACTAAAATGAAATGTATAAGTATGTACTCGTATTTAAATAATAGTAATTATTTTGTTATTATAGCACCAAGTCCACTGCTGAATTCTAAATGCAATTTTTTGGTAAAATAAAATACTACATACATATACTTATTTTCTTCTAACCTTATAGAAATAATCTTAAACTCTTGATTCTATTTTGCGAAATGTAACATTATATCTTACTTTATTAAGAATATTTTTTAATCTATAAGCCACATATTCAGTAGATACATAGTATTTTTCATATTTTATTAAACTTTTTATACGTGGTAGAGCCATGCTGTAGCTATATTAGTAGTATAGTTGTAGCACAAATGGGTCGGCTCGACCGGGGAAGGACCACGCTCTCACAGAATACCAGCGTGAAAATGTAGTAGCTTTTTACTGGAAACGAGGCATTCCATCATAAGTTTTGGTCTCTTGATCGTAACGCACAACGCTGCGGTATGCGGCTCAAATGCAGCGTCACGTCGCCGCTTTTAGCATCTCTGCGGGGAAGTGGTCGGTTGATTTTGCCGCAGCTACCAAAGCAGACGTGTCAACATGAACAATAGTTTTGAAATTTGTGCTTTTTTAGAGGAGGAAGAAAGAATTTTGGCTTTATTTTTATATAAAAAAGGGATAATTGCGGATTAATTATATTAAATTATCTTCAAACAAATCCATTGTCAACCCGCAACGCACACCGCAGCGTCGCAACGAGAACGACGCCGCGCAGTGCGGAGTACCCGCTTCCCACTTCACCGCGTTTGCCCTTCGCCGCTGACGCATACTGCGACGGAACAAGAGACCATTCTACACGTTTTTCATACAATTATGTGTCCGGCACCGCATGCCGCATACCGCAGCGTTGTGCGTTACGATCAAGAGACCAAAGTTTTAGTCCTCTGAGGTGGTGACAACGCATCTGTATTTTGATCCGTAATCGAGAATAGATGTAGCTGTCTATGGGCCACAGCAACTACTTACCATCAGGTTGACTGTGTGCTCGTTTGTCACCCTATCCTATAAAAAAATCTGAAGTGACAAAACAAACTTACAAGAATCACCTGACGGTAAATGGCTCCTGCAGCCCATGGACACCCGCAACCAACTTCAAACGAAGAAGGCTGCAGATCCGTTAACCTTCTGAGGACTAAGAATGGATGAATAGACTAGGAATGGAGAAGATGGAATGCCTTAAAGCCTGTGATAATACTGGCTCTTTATACCATTCAGACATACTTATGACTGGAACATTAGAGTGCACGAATTTGCAATTCATGCACTTCGTTTCTGGGCGGTACCCAGACGGACTGCTTGGCAGAAAAGCAGACCTCCCGACAGTAAAAACTGCCGATTGAATTACCAAAATTGACACTTTAATTACTGAACACCAATTAAAACATAAAACACACCAGTAATTAATCACACTTAACACTTTATTTCGCTCCGAAGTCTTCGCTTGCGTCGCCAATTCAATACTGCCCCGGTCGCGGCCCGTAAGGGCTTTATATAGGCCTTTTCCACCGAAACAACTAGAAGGTTCCAGCAAATACTGGTCTCGACCGACTAGGTGTAGAAAATTCGAGTGTGGAGTTTTCTAGAAAGTTTAGTTCTTCTATTCGATGATAGATGTCGCTAGTGCCATGTACCAGATATCAACTGTGGCGCGCAACAATAGTTTTTATTTATATACTCGTAAGAGGGGGCAAACGAGCATGCGGTTCACCTGATGCTTAGTGATTACCGCCGTCAATAAACAACAGTAATACCAATGGGAATTGCAGGTGCGTTACCGGCCGTTTAAAAAAAGGAGTAGATGTCACTAAAATATTGAAAAACTTCTTTATATTCGACTTAATCCAATTCATATTCTAGAAGAATTAATCTTTTATTGAAGTGTAACGTAATTTTTCATTTACGTTTTTAGTTTTTACACAATGTGATATTAGTGCGAAGAGAAGGAAACGTATGGAAAGTGAGACACAGGCATGTAGTAACGGGAGAGGAATACGAGGAAGAATATGATTTTGTTATAGTCGGAAGTGGTCATCATAGTAAACCTAATATGCCGGAAATTCCAGGAGAACAACAATTCAAAGGTATTATTAACCATTAGCATATTTATGTATGTCTGACTACATTTCTAAAGTTATTCACATATGTTCATTGCAGTCTATCGAAAGTTTACTGAGAAACATTGGCCTCCCCCATAGATTGCATCATAGAAGGGATAATTGTTATAGTTGCATATTGTCAGATGGGTTGTAGTTATCAAGAAGATTCTGCTGCTCATCATTTTAATTTCCCTCCTTTGCCGCTTACAACACCGACGAGTGATATAGAGTAGATAGTGGATTCCCTTTTACTTAGTGGTGGCTACTGCACGGTGAATTTCCAAATATGAAAATATATTGTATTTCAGCCGTTTTATATTTTATCATCATCATCATTACAGCCCTTCACAAGTCCACTGCTGAACATAGACCTCCCCCAAGTAATGCCACAAAGCACGGTCCTGAGCCACCTGCATCCATCGACTTCCTGCATGTCTTACCAGGTCGTCACTCCATCTAGTGGGGGTCGCCCTACACTACGCCTACCGGTACGAGGCTGCTACTCGAGAACCTTTCTTCCCCATCGGTTATCGGTTCTTCGAGCTATATGGCCGGCCCATTGCCACTTCAGCTTACTAATCCGTTGGGCTATGTCGGTCACTCTGGTTTTACTGCGGATATCCTCATTTCTGAGTCTATCACGCAGAGAAACTCCGAGCATAGCCCTCTCCATAGCTCGCTGAGCGACCTTAAGCGTCCTCATACGGCCAGCAGTGAAAGACCACGTCTCAGATCCGTAAGTCATCACTGGCAACACGCACTGGTTGTACAATCTAGTTTTTAGAGATTGAGGTATACCTGACGAAAAGATATGCCGTAATTTCCCGAACGCTGCCCAGCCGAGTTGAATCCGTCGATTGACCTCTCGGTCGAAGTTGGACTTACCTAGTCGGACTATTTGTCCCAGGTAAACGTATTCGTCAACAACTTCGAGCATAGTGCTCCCAACAACTACCGGCATAGGTGTGACATGGACATTGAACATGATCTTTGTTTTGTCCATGTTCATCTTAAGACCTATCCGTTGGGAGACACTATTGACTTCATTGAGCATAGTGCTTAAGTCCTCCAGCGATTTTGCCATAAGGACTATATCGTCGGCAAATCGAAGGTGAGTGATGTACTCGCCATTGATGTCAATACCGTATCCTTTCCAGTCCAGTAGCTTGAAAACGTCTTCCAATGCAGCGGTGAAGAGTTTCGGGGACATAACGTCACCCTGTCTTACACCTCTCTGCAGTTGGATAGGTTTCGAGCTCTGGTTCCGTACTCGGATAGCCATCGTAGCCCTACTGTACAAACACTTCAGCACTTCGATATACCGACAGTCAACTTGGCACCGCTGAAGGGACTGTAGCACCGCCCAAATTTCGACGGAATCAAAGGCTTTCTCATAGTCCACATACGCCAGGCAAAGTGGCAAATTGTACTCTTCAGTCTTCTGTACAATCTGCCGCAGGGTATGTATGTGGTCTATGGTACTGAAGCCTTTTCGGAAACCGGCTTGTTCGGGAGGCTGGAAGTCGTCAAGTCTGCGTGCGAGACGATTCGTAATGACTCTCGAAAACAGCACGTAGACACGGCTCAGAAGGGAAGTCGGTCTGTAGTTCTTTAAGAGAGCGTTGTCGCCTTTCTTAAAGAACAAGACCACCGCACTTCTGCTCCACGCCTCTGGAGTAGTGCCATCATGGAGGACGGAATTGAAGAGCTTCTGAAGGACTTCAAGTACCGGTGTTCCACCCGCTTTCAGAAGCTCCGCTGTAATTCCATCCTCGCCTGGGGCCCTGCCGTTTTTAAGGTGCTGGAGAGCCATTCTAATCTCGCTTAGACTGACGTCCGGGATATCATCGGAATAGTGTCGGATAAGACTTGCTCTTGGATCGTTACTCACACTTGCGTGTGGCTCCAACGATGATGTGTACAGCTGCCCATAGAACCTCTCAATCTCACTCAAAATCTCAGATGTCCCGGAAACGATGTTGCCACACTCAGTCTTCAGCCTTGACAGTTGGCTCTTTCTGGCAGACAGATCTCTGGCAAAGACTTTGGAGCCCTGGTTCCGCTCGATCGCTTCTTTAATACGAGAAGTATTAAAGTTGCGTAAGTCTCGCCGTATGCATTTGGAGATCTGTCTGTTCAGTAGCCTGTATGCTGTCAAATCTGTTGACGATTGCAGCCTCATCTCCCGTCTAACAGCCATGAGATTAAGAGTGTGATCGGAGAGTTTTTGTGTTCTTCTGCGGCGGGTCTTGCAGAACTTAGCTCCGACCGCATGGACAGTTTCCACGAGCTTGTCGTTCATATCGTCCACTGCATTGCAATCTTCTAGGCACTGGAAGCGGTTACGTAACTCGAGCTGAAAGGTTTCGGGATTCTGGATTAGAGCACGAGGGGGACGGAGCGTTGACTTCATTAGACGAGACCTCTCCAACTTAACGTTTAGGTTCAGTGTGCCTCTAACCATTCGGTGATCGCTGCCAGTTTTCACCCTTGCGATCACTGAGACATCACTGAACAGTTGGCGTCTGGTCGTCATAATGAAGTCAATCTCATTTTTTGTCGAACCGTCGGGGCTCGACCAGGTCCACTTCCTGTGGGGCCGCTTCTGGAAGAAAGAGTTCATCATAAAGAGTCCCTCTTTCTCCATAAAGTCGGCCAGCTGCTGGCCCCTTCGGTTCCGTTGCCCTACTCCAAATTTCCCTACCTTCAGCTCACCGCTTTCTCTTGTGCCCAGTTTTGCGTTGAAGTCTCCCATCAACACCGTGTAGTAGGTTTTGGAGGAATGTATGGCTCTGGAAATATCCTCATACATTTCCTCCACCTCCTCATCGGGATGTGCCGAGGTTGGTGCGTAAACCTGAATGACCTTCAGCGAATACCGTTTGGTGATTCTGAGTATCAGGTACGCGACCCTCGTCGACACACTCCCAATCTTTACAACGTTGTTGACGAGAGATTTGTGGACGATAAATCCGACACCTCCTTGGGACAGATGGTCGCCCTCCCGGTGATAGAACAAGTTGCCGGACTCAGGGTGCGTGCGTTATATGTTGCCAGGTCGAGTCGTCGTAGGTGGCAACCGAACCTCCACCGGAGATTCTTAGCACCCCCTGCCCCGCCGTTACCATGGTCGCCACCGTAGCCAGGAATAGCGGGGCCGCCGGGGACTGGGGGCCGTCTGTTTGTGTATTTATTCATTGGGGGGTATTTGCCATAGTTGCCACGCTTGGCGAGCGGGTTGGCAACCGCAGTTTTTTATTACGTCACAGTTGTCATCAGGAAGACGCTGCTGCCCATCTCCTGCCTGTCTCCCTCTGTCGCCTCTTACGACATCCACGGGAAGATATGGGGTAGTGGATATTCTTAACCGCCACTACACGGCTATATTTTATATTTTTTGCATTTTATATTTTATGAAGCAGGAATGGGTTTATCCAATCTGGGAAAAACGCCCTCAAAAGAACCATCATCATGATCATTACAGCTCTCCACTGCTGCACATAGGCCTGCCCTAAGTAATGCATGCTCCTAAGCTACCTGCGTCAATCGAACTTTTGCTTGTCTTACCAATTTACTACATCAAGTGTAAGATATTTAGCCGTGAAAGTAAAGGGGATTTCCTGCTAGGCAAAGTGTTCAGCTCAGGGAGCGGCCAAAGATTCGAGTGGTAGTTTTTTTTTTGCGCCCAGAAGCAATAGTAAAGGGCTACCCTCCAGAAAGCGGGGGAGAGAGTTGATGAATGGTCTAAGCATACCACGCACGGCTACGTGGTTATGTGGGACTCACTATGCTACCTAGAGTGCCTACCCACTAAAGACCACCTGAGACTGGTTTTGATCTGTGAGGGTCTTTCAGCCGTATCGAAAGTGACCCCCTTGGGGAAAGGGGGGCGCAAAGAGTGGGAGTTCGGAGCTATACTATATATACTGCCTTACTTCGGAATTATGATAGTGCGATTTAGCCTTCGGTGCGTTTGCTTGTGGCGCAACGAGTGCGCTGCCACAAGTTTCTTACACTCGGCTTGCCAACAGGGGTTTGTAACACTAGAGCATAATATTTTTTTTAAACATAATCTTATACCAGCGTGAAATATCAGCATAATGTTCTTGTATTGTTGCATTTCGCACGTTGTATTCGTCAGTATGTTCTATTTTGTATGGTAAGGACGAGAACAGGAGACCCTTTTTACTGACAATGTAGTATTTCATCTTATTGCTCAGGAGTGACAACGCATATGCGTTTTGATTGTGAAACGTATATTATGTTATTTATGAAAAATGCAACAACGCCTTGAAAGAAGTACAAATCGATTTCACTTTGAACCTCGTCTACGTGCTCTTTTCGAGTATATATAAGTGGTAGAGCCACACTGTACCTATATTATGGTTGTAGAATGAATCGGTCGGCTCAACCGGGGAAGGAACACGCTCTCACAGAATGCCAGCGTAAAATAGCAGCTTAATGTTGCTGTATGGAGGGTGTAGAGAACCGGAGACCCGTTTTACTAAAATCGAGGCATTCCATCTTAGTCCTCAGGGATGACAGCGCATATATGTATTTTGATTTTTAGTCGAGGCTAAATGTCTATGGGCCACAGCATCCACCTCCCATCAGGTCGACTGTGTGCTCGTTTGTCACTCTTATTCTATATAAAAAAATCGTCTCGCACGCAGACTTGACGACTTCCAGCTTCCCGAATGAGCCAGTTTCCTAAAAGGCTTAGCACCATAGACCATATACGAGTACATACGCTTCTTTACTTAACAGAAGTCCGAGAAGTACAATGTGCGACTTTGTCTTGCATGTTAAGAGAAAGGCTTCTATTTCGTCGACATTTGAGCGTTGCTACAATTCCTTCAGTGGTGTTAACTAGTTGACTGTCGCTATGTCAAAGTGTTACCCAGAGAGCAGAGATTTGTTAGACAAGGTGAAGCGGTATACTCATAAGTGGAGGAAGAGCAATTGACCAAAGCTGGTTGAAGACGTGCGAGCTTCTCCATCATTGTGCTCAGTTATTCACAGTACACATCTGCAGTAATGCTCATCTCGTTTGGTAAGAAGCTGTGATGAATGACACCGGTGCGGTGCTAGACCACCATACAGTGACCATCACTTTTAGGGGTAAGTTTTCCTTTAGGGCATTATTTAGGTGCTGAATCAAGATCCAACCAACTTACTGAGTGCTTACGATTGTCAAAAAGAATCCATCTTTCATCGCATATAAGAATGTAGTTCAAAATTCCTTCGGTTATGTGCATGTTGAGCAGTGCAAGGCACATCTGGACGCGTACTTCGCGCAGACGATCACTGAGTTCGTGGAGTACCCATTTGTCAACCTTTTGACCTTGCCAATATGACGCAAATGGACCAATATTGTTTTGATACTAATGTCAAAAACTGGTGCTAATTCAGCCGTAAATTGAGTAGTATCTTTTTCCACAATCGCTTTTAATTCGTCATTGTCGATCAAAGTCTTCGGAAGACCACGGGGTTCATTTTTGAGGTCGAAATATCCAGGAAAATCAATAACAGGGGATACGTCCGTTTGTGGTATTCGCCCCGTAAACGTCGTTGATGTTTCGTGCTGCTTGTGCCTCGCTGCTGCCACGACGGTACTCATATTTCATAATTACTCGATTTTTTTACGTATCCACGAGGACGAAAAAGATTAAAATGCGATGAAAACATTACGCTATATTCGTAAACAAATGACTACTTTTGAAAAATAGTTTCATGTTTTTAAAATAAAATTAATGTGAAATTAGAAATAATAATAGAACGTCTTTTAAGGTAAATCAAAAACAGCGGTGCCTTTTTTAAAGACACAGAAATTATTACAGATAGAAAACAACTAACTGGTACTAACAAACTTTCAATGGCTTCAAAAGGGATTTGAACTAACATATTATTATATGCTTCTGGTTCATTCAAGTTTCTTTTCGTTTTTTGTTACGATCCGTTTTATTATAAACAGAACATAACATAAAGTACTGAAAATGGTTTGTAAAATTGATTTCATTATAAACTATTTGTTCAAGAAATTTAAATGTCTTAAAATGTTTTATAAGTGTTGTCTTTTTTCAAGCAGTATCGCAAGCTACTTGGTTTTTATAAGAAGGTTGTTAAATGACAGATTTACTCAAATTTCAGGAACTATAATTCACAGCCATGACTATAGGGAACCAGAAGTCTTCAAAAACCGACGCGTCCTGATCGTCGGTGCGGGCCCTTCGGGCATGGATATCGCCATCGATGTAGCTTTTTATTGTAAAACGCTTTTTCACAGCCACCATTCTAAGGTGAACTTTCGAACAAAGTTCCCGAATCATTACATAAGGAAACCCGACGTGAAAGAATTTAATGGAACTGGTGTATTTTTCGTCGATGGTACATATGAAGAAATTGATGACGTCATATATTGCACTGGTAAGATTAAGTTAATTATTCGTAGAAATTACAATAAATGAAGTCATAGATACGTATAGCCGTAAGTGACAAACACCTGTCTTTACCGTAAACTAAGGAATTAAAATTGATCATCACTCTATGCAGTGTTCACAGCACACCCAAAAGGAATTTTTGAAATTTATTAGCTCTTGTTTTTTAGTTACTTTGTATTAATTAATCTATAATTAATAACAAATATATTAATCTAGATTAATACTTTTCATGAGTGAAGACTGAATAGAAATAGAAAGATACAAAAACACAGAGTCGTATACTATAACTGTTATATTAAGAAAAAATAGCAAACAAGCTTTGGCAATAAAATAGGAACACTTTGAATAATATACTTGAAAAAACTTTCTACACAACACCATACTAAAATCGACTAAAATTTCATCAACATCAACTTTCAAAATGCCATCGATGAAGCACCACCCTTTTGATCCTTTATTATTTGATTGACCGATGAAGAGCTATCGTATCATAACGCCATCTGTGCAAATAAGGCTGTGGATTTTGAGTTACAATAAAGTGACCATATTAAACGGTTGACCATATTACCCTCACGTACCTACTATATTATTGAATACATGGTTAGTATTAACTAAGATTGATGTGAACCCTGCCAAGAAGCAGTGGTAAAAATAGAAATTACTTTCAGTTAGAAAGTATTATTTATAAACTTTTTGTTAAAAAATATTCTATTTTATTCTATTGTATATTATTCTCTTCTAACCAAAATTTCTAATATAGGTATCCTTGCTTTTAACAACAACATGCTTTTTCAGGTTACGAATACTATTACCCGTTTTTAGACGACACTTGTGGTTTAACACTCGGCAAGCACTATGTAGTTCCGCTGTACAAATACATGGTGAATATAAACCAACCAAGTATGGTACTACTAGGGCTTGTAATTCGAGCCTGCCTCGTAGTCGCCATAGATGCCCAGGTAATGGTGTTCCATGTTAAATTATGACTATCGATTTATGTATTGGTTTTTATGTTTTTAAAACCTATCCACGATGATGATGATAACGAATGATGAGTACCTGTATGTTCTCCTAAATCTATTTGATATCCGAGAATTATTTGCACTGGATGTAATGTTCTTTCTCATGGTCACTTTCAACAGAAATATTACTTCTGAAAGTTAGATTATTGAACGCACAATCATAAAAGCGTTCTTTTTTATAGGATAAGGGTGACAAGCGAGCACATAGTCCACCACAGTGCTGGTAAGTGTTTGTTGTGGCCTATAGACATCTACATCTATCCATGATTACGAACCAAAATACAGATGTGTTGTCAGGTTAGGACTAAAATGGAATGCCTTCTTTCAGTAAAAAGGTCTCCGGTTCTTTACACTCACCATATAAAACACAGCAACGTTAAGCTGCTATTTTACGCTGTTATTCTGTAAGCGGTTCTTTCCTTGTCGAACCGACTCACTTGCGCTACAACTATACTACTAATATAGCTCCAGCATGGCTGTACCACGTAAAATTCGTTCACGTGAACGTCATTTGCCCTTCCTTATCAATGGTTGATGAAAGGCTTACTCTATAGGATCAATGAGTGAATTGAGGAGCACCTAATCAAACAGACAGCTCAACCAGAATGAAAAGCCATTTAAATTTTTTATTCCGAGTTTTCATTTATATACAGAATGGGTCCCACATATATGCAATAAATGAAACCATATACTTGTTATCGCCTTTGCTGACGATATACAAAAAATGAACGTAATCGGTCCAGTAATTAGGTCAAAAAGTAGAGTTTTAATTTTAAGCAAATTTGAACACTCTATAGAATTGGGTCACTAAGTCAATGATTCAATGAACTTGAATCCTTGAACATTAAAAAGCGACGTTGCCACGCAGTGCAAACTATTGGTATTGCGACATATCGACAGCGGTGTCTTTTGTCGGCGTGCCACCCGCGTGCAACGTTGTCACTCCTCCAAGGGGTCAAGGTACGTTGTCTAAACAGAGTGTTCACTTTTACTGAATTTATTTTAATATTTATTTTGTTTGAAAATTTCACTTTTTTATTTTACGGGTTTTAATTTAATATTTAATTTTTCTACACTTCTACGGACTAGTATTACTTGTGGTTTCATTTATTGCATATATGTGGGACCCATTCTGTATATTGTCAAAGATCTATGCATCTATAAAAAATTCCATGAGTCTGAACTAAATTTTGAAATAATTTTACTACGCCCTACTTGAACGCTGTTAGTACATCATATTAAGACGATGAAAGCTAGATTTCTTTCAGTCATCTCTCGAAATTAGTCAACCGTGTTAAAATTATACCAGCGCTAAACGGTTGCGATAGAAGAGTCTTTATCTATAAATGCTATTCGAACTCACTCAAATGATTCATCGAGTTTTAGACGACATATGAAATCGTTAAAATTCATCGCGCGAATATATTCCCGACGCGTATCCATTTTTCAATGAAACACAATCTAATACCTGTTTACTACATAGTTACTTCAATTTCCTACTTATAAACCTTGAAGGAAATTTGAAATTAGGTCATTCGTATTTTTCTAAAAAATAATATAGTACGTGAGGGTAATATGGTCATATGGGTCATATAGTCACTTCCCTATAGTTCAAAAACTACAGCCTTGCTTGCATAGATAGTAAAAAGAAATTACCTAAACTATCGGCGTCTTGAAGCTTGTTTCCTGCCGCCCGATCAGTCTAGCTTCGGCTTCTGAGCGGGAAAGGTGTGTCGCTTACAATCAGAATACACATTACGCAACAAGACGACGTAAAATTAAAATGGGAAATAACCGTAATAAAAATAAAAAGCGACTAGGTTGGCGTAAAGAAACAGGCATAAATATGATAAACCTAACGAAATAAGTATCTAGCCACATATCTACTTACAGTATTAGTGATTACAAACATGTTGGTACACAGCATATGACGCGCGGGAAAGTGGGGGCGAAATCAGAATTTGAGCTGGGTTACTAAGGTGACTTTTTTCCCCTCATGTACCTTTGTATTTTCAAAGTAAATTATAACTGGCCAGTGTCTCATACATATGTAGGTCACGTATATATGGGACACTGTGCCATCGTATATACTACGTAAATAATATCATAGATTATTTATAACAATTACTATTAGTTGTGTGGCGTTACGGTTCAGTATTGAGTCGTGGCGCAAGAGCCGTGGCTTCATATTCCACATGGAGTAATTATTTATATGGCCTACAAATAATTGTTCCCCGTCTGGATGTTTATACTTGTGCAATTTATTTAAAAAATATTAATAAAGTTTAATTCACTCCAACTCAAAACTTTCCAACAAAACATTACTTTACAAATAATCTCACTGTTGTAAACTAGCGTCACAACGCTTTAGTGATGCTGATCTTTGATCCTGCCTTACTTATTTTATTCACATCACCTTATACTTTGTTTCTATAAAAAACAAGTTTTGTAATGTTGTTTGTAAATAAATTACTTACAGGCCCGTTACGCGACAGCCCTTATAAAGGGCAATTTCACGCTGCCTTCAAAAGAGGACATGTTGGAGGAATGGCAGAAACAAGCTGACATTATTCTCTCCAAGGGGCGGCCGTTGTCTGATATACACTTTTTAGCTGAGAAAGAGGTAATTTTGAATTGATTTTTTTAATGAAAATTAATTATACGTAATATTACGTGTGGTTAACCTGTAATAAATACATATTGTCACGCCTGTAACCAATGACGCAGAGCTCAAAAGGCAGCGACCTACTTAAACTTAGTTTCGTCGAAAAAAATTGGGTTTAGATGAAAAATTGTCAATCCATCGCCTACACAATTTTAAAACCCAATATCCTATTAAATCTCTTTTAACAACATGCTAGACACAGTCGGTACATTATTTTTTGTTATTAATATATATAATATAATTAGACTTATACTCCCGAACCAACATAGGGCGTATAACGTTAAACTATCGGAATATTTCTAATTTTATATTATTAAAAATAATAAGTTGTAATAAAACTTCTGGAGCCTATGTACGTCTGCAACCAACTTTTAAAAAAAGCTATAGGTACGTTGCAACCTCTAAGGATTAAGACCATAGAATAATAATAAATAAATAGAATGGCCGTCAACCTTATTTTGTACGAGGATCGGCGTCGCCGGGAGCACAGATACAGACAATTACGTCGTATTATCACTACTCTAAACCCAATTTTCTGTATTGTATTGATAGACTGAGTGAATTTACACATTTTAAACTTTTGATTAATGTTTTTGACACATCAATATGTCTTTGTTTGTATCTAATATTTACAAAATATAAATACTTTCAACTTACTGGTTGTAAGATATGTCTCCTTTCTTTAAATTCCATTTCCCGCTGTTTTTTCGACACGTAATTATTGCACAATTTGCCATTTTTTAAATTATTTGCATGCAGCGACGCTTGACACGAAAATTGAAAATGATGGATTGTGTTGACATTTATAAGTGTGAATTGACATGTTAGTGACATGTCAGTAGCTACACGGGCTCCGCCCATACCCCCGTTCTATTATGTATGTATTATAGTATTCTATGACTAAGACGAAATGTCTCATAGTCTGTAGTAAATTTCTTTTGTAATCGTAAATAAGGATCTGCGAGTAAGAGAATAAAAAATATTATTTACTTTTTAGCAAAAACAAAGTTTATTATCTAATCATATGTGTCTAGAATAAACGACTTATCGTACGGTTTTTAAAATTTGAGCAGTCTTTTTTAATAGCATTGGGTGACAAACGAGCACACGTCCACCTGATGGTAAGTGGATGCTGTGGCCTATAGACATCCACATTGATCCTCAATTAAGAATCAAAATGCAAGTGCGTTGTCACCTTTGAGGACAAAGATGAGGGAATGCCTCGATCCCAGTAAACATGGTCTCCGATTCTTTACACTCACCATACGAAACACAGCAGCGTGTTCTACCATAATATAGCTGCAGCATGACTCTACCACGTAACAAAGTCCACTCTGGAGCTTAAAGTAACTTGAAAGTTTTCTGTTAATATTTAGATCTTTATTGAATTTCAGGATCAGTATTATGCCGAGATTACGGCAGAGTCAGGCATCGATAGGGTTCCCCCGGTTATGTTCAAAATCCGCATCGTCGACACAGAGGCCAAGCTTGAGAACCTCTACACATACAGAAACTACGTCTACAAGGTTATTGATAATGAAACATTTACAAGGAGTTTTGAAAACGAAACAGCTGATAGTAATTATAATTTCCCCTCTCTACCTTGAACTGAAAAATAAACTAAAATATATATAGTAAATTTCGTGTACACGAAATACCTAAAAACTAAGACAAATTATCGAGAAAAAAATCTGTTTCAAACAGAAATTAAAAAAAATCTTCTGATAAAAAGATAAAAACAGACTTAAAAAATAAAAATAATGAAATAATTTCCATACAATATTATCTTCTGAAGACGGTCAAAGACAATCTTTCGAAGAATCATAGCTTTTGAATAAAATATACAGACTTGTATTTATTTTCTATTAAAGTTCATCATCACATTCATCTCTATTTTTTCATCCACGAAGGGTTTGATTTTTCTACAACTTTAATTTGGGACCATCTTAGTTGTACAGCCTTCTTAATAAAAAATGTGTAACTCGGTTGAACCTTTTCGAAAGTTGTTGAACATACATGATGTAAAGAAAAATATACGTGTGGAATGTAATTCGATCCTTCTTTTTTCAAATTGATTCAAAATTTGTATTTTAGAAAAATATAATAGTGTATAAAGATGAAAGACGGTAAATAAGTAGTTATTCTTTGTTCTCATACATTGTATTTATTAATTTTAATAATATAAATTTTTTACGAAAAAAAATTACGAGTAACACTTTGACTAAAATACTCGTATCTACCAAAAAGGAACTCCTTTAGAATAGTAAATAGGTACATAGAGAGCTTAAGAAACGATACTAACGAGAATGTTATTCATGTCATTAATTATGAAATTCGAAAATAAAAAGATATATAAATAAAAAAGACGTACTTAGTTGTTATCATCCATAATTTGACCAATGTTACGATGGTAGTGGTATTAAAAATAATATATTTATGCGTATAGCCGTTTGCGAGCATTAATACAAACAGTTTGCGGCTTAATGATGCTATATAGTAACTATGTACTCTTGTAATATGTTTTATGTATTATTAAATAAATAAATAAAATAAAAATACATACAGTTAATTTATTCCTTAACAAAACTATAAACGACCGGTGTTTTTTTCTAATTTGATTAAAATAAAATGTTTTAATTAAACTGAGTCGATTTATTATTTTACGAAAAATAAGTCAAATTATTTTTTCAAACCGTGTAGTGGCGATGAAAGAATATCCACTACCTCATATCGTCCCGAGGGTGTCGTATGAGGCGACAGAGGGAAACAGTAACGGGAGTAGGGGCAGCAGCATCTTCCTGATAATAACTCATAATAAAAGCAGTTGCCAACACGATTGCCAAACGTGGTAACAATGACAAAATCACCCCACGAGGGAACCTATGAGGGGAGGCCTATATTCTGCAGTGGGCTTTTATACGCTGTTACGATGACGATGATGATAATTATTTACAATGTTCTTCCGCAAAACAATAATCTTTCAATAACGAATAACGAAATGAATTTTTACTGTTAAAAGTTACCAATCGGATTACTTTTGTATAAAAATTGCAATTTTTAACTACGCTATTATCTTTTTAAAAGTATCTAAATAATATTTGAAGAATATTCGTATTTTTACTGTTCTACAGTACAGGGCACGTATTCTCTGGTCTTGGATTGTACTTTCTATCGTAGTGATTATTGTCTTGTGTCTCATAATCATAGTCTCGGTAGTTCAACAAATCATCTAGACGGTTCTTAGCATTGAAGTCTCGTATTTCTGTAAGTACTGGCGTTGCTCGTACCACACCGCCCTCATTTATTAAGTTGGCGAAGTAATGATCCTTGAAAACAGAACAAACAATTAATCTTTTTAATCATGTTATCAGTGACAACTATAGTAAAACATGTGACGTATTTATTCCTAAGAACTAATGACAGAACAATCTGCACAGCCAGTCCATGATAACTGAACATTTAAAGAACAAGGTAGTTGACAATGACATCAGCTCTACACTCACCAACCCGAGCAAATCCTTTATGGACGTAGTTAAATTTTTGACATGCTCGAATTTAGGTATTTGAATCGCAAGCCGACTTACGCAGGCACACATTGAAACAGTTTCCCGCTATATTTTATATATTGTACCCCACTAAACTTTATACTTGCTGACGACAGAGGAAAAAAATAATTAAAAAAATCAAAACCCGACTACAAAAAGACAATTTATAAGTAATCCTAATATGAGATGAGATTGAGAATAGAAAACAAAATTAAAATAAACTATAAACAAAGTAAATTCTACTTCGGTACAGACTCTATTATGAGCTGAAAGCCTAAGTTGAATACATACCCCCCGCATTAAGTTTAGTGCCAAGCGGAATCCATTAATTTTCTTTCGGTTTTTAACTTGCAGTTGTGTCCTGATTTTTGATACCTTTTGCTTTAATTTCCTTTATTTTGATACCCTACTCGATAGGTTTGGTTAATACTTTTATTAACGTGGGAATAGAGTGAATGGGGCACTACACTCTATTGTGAAGAACCAGAATGTATCAAAAAAGGCACGTATGGTAATTCATAATGCTGTGTTAGCCCCTACTTTAATGTATGGTAGTGAAAGCTGGGTGTGGCAGAAGAAGCACGAAAGTAGAATAAATGCTGTAGAAATGCGGTCTTTAAGGAGTATGCTAGGGTTGAATCTGAATGACAGGGTGAGAAATTGCGTGATAAGAGATAAATGTGGTATGCAAGATGATGTTGTGACCAGGATTAAGAAAGGAATGCTTCGGTGGTTTGGTCATGTAGAAAGAATGAATGAAGAAAGAGTGACAAAGCAAATTTATATGGCAGATGTGAACGGCCGAGTCGGGAAGGGACGCCCTAGAAAAAAGTTTATCGAACAAATTGGCGATATTTTGAAAATGGGCCACATTAAAAGTACCCTTAACCGACGAGCATGTATGCGAAAGAGGTATGTCAAGATCGTGTCAAATGGAAGTCCGTAGTCTCTGCCTACCCCTCTGGGTGACAGGCGTGAGTGTTTATGTTTATGTATGTTGTTTTATTAACGTATTACTATTTCGCGCCTAAAATCCGCCAGTTTGTTTTTTTTTTTCAAACAGCTAAGGACATTGAGTTTTAAGACAAATATAACGATACCTTTGTCGAAATCCATTCAGCCGTTTGGCAGATACGAGGTAATAAAGAAATTTATAAACAAATATACATACATACAAGATACGTGCGAAAAACATAACCTTTTCTTGGCAGTCTGGTAAAAAAGGCGTACAATTTAATTGAATCCAAAACCATGCTCAACTTTTTGACACGCACTTACGTACACATTTTTCCTTCTTTCTTTATAAGCCCATAACATTTACTGACGTATGCACATACATCTTCTTACAATGAGGTTAGCTTGGTTTTGACTTGGTTTTTGCATCATTTGAAATTTACGCAGCACTCCGTTTTACTTTCTTTGTAGGCCTAAGTAAAGTTAGTTGGTCAATTTTTGCAATCGCATTGGTGATAATAGTATTATTATGGGGGTCATTGATAGAGTAATCACATCTGGTTGGGCTGGATAAATATATAAAAGGAAAAAATAAATATACATAAATATATATTTAATATACTAACATAAATAAATAAAAGCCCAACAAGATGGAGGCCCTCGGCAGGGGAGACCAAACGGCCGAGGGTTAGGGGGAAAGGAAAAGAAACCGGCGGACGATGCGGGCGGTATCGAGGAGCACCGCCTTTTGCATTTGAGCCCGGAGCCTTCCGTCACGGAGTCCCAGTCGCCTCAGATGACCCGAGAGGCTGACTGGAATTAGCCCATTCGCAGAGACGACTACAGGAATAATTTCGGCCGGCAGACCACCCCACATGTCAGTCATCTCGTGAGTCAGGTCCAGATATTTTATTCGCTTATCTGTTTCGGTTTTCACGAGGTTCTCGTCATACGGAATGGTAATGTCGACCAAAAATATCCTTGACTGTGCCCGGTCCATCAGCACAATATCAGGCTTATTCGCAAGAATAGTCCTGTCTGTGATGATGGCCCGGACCCACTAGACCCGACTCTGGCGCGATCATTTTCGAGCACGGCTTCCGGCAAGTACTTGTAATACGGCACTTTCCGGTCCACGAGACCGTATTTCAGAGCGAGCTCCTGGTGAAGAATTCTGGCTACTAGGTTGTGCCTGTGCAAGTACTTAGAGTTTATATTTATTAATATATATTATTATTATTATTATTATTTGTGAATTTGAGTTGGGTACGGGTTCCGCACTCTTACGAAATAATTTTGTGCACCACGCTGGCTTTATTGCCGTACATGATATGCGTGTGTGAGTGAGTCTTATTTTATAAGTTTAATTTTGACTAATGATTACCTTGGTAAAGGTTTTCTAACAACACATAGGATGACGCATGGAATTCATATTTAGAGATGCGTTAACATAATGTATGATGAAATCTGATTAAAACAAAACAAAAATTAATAAAAAACATAAAATAATATACTAAATATAAAATAGTCACTAATAAAAAAATGCTAATCCATAGTATTTTACTAGACAAAGATTGATTTAAAAAAATAAACAAATGTATGCTTACACTTTATTTCTTTCGGTAAATATATTTTTTTACTCGTGTGTGAGCTAAAATCCATAGTCTCTTAGATTTATATATTTATGGTATGGAGGATCAACTCGCTCTAAAATTTAGCTCCATATTTTCCTTCTAGAACTGGCCGTCTATTTTTATAAATTCATATTTTATTTTGCCATCGCCGCTCGACATGGTAAATAATACACACATGTTTTGACCAGTTACTATAAATGGTAATCTAATAATATATAATATAATGGATAGTACCGTTTGATTTTTGTGTTGACTGTGAAACTGTGATACGTCAAATTTATACTTTTGTTTAATTTTTTGTCGTTAGTCATTTAAGTATTTTTATAGGATAGGGTGACAAACAAGCACACAGTCCACCTGATGGTAAGTCGATGCTGTGGCCCACAGACATCTACATTTATCTTCAATTAAAAATCAACATGTAGATGCGTTGCCAGCCCTGAGGACTGAGACGGAACGCCTCGTTTCCAGTAAAAAGGGTATCCGGTTCTCTACACTCACCATACGAAATACAGCAACATTAAGCTGCTATTTTACGCTGGTATTCTGTGAGAGCGTGGTCTTACCCCGGTCGAGCCGACCCATTCGTGCTGCAACCACAATATAGCTGCAGCGTGGCTCTACCACGTATATTTAATTACTTAAATGATAGTCATACAGTATTTGCATAACAAAGGTAGCACAATTGGTATTAGCTTACAAACTCTGGCAAACCATGAAACTTTCAACTTTTTTTCTAGTTTCTAGCAAGAGTTTACACTCTATAAAATAGTGTTCCTTTCAAAAAAAATCTGCTGTGGGGACTTTATTAACTGTAAATATTATAGGATCGGGCGTTTCTAATACAATCATAGGTACTTGTATACCATTGGCAATCAAATGTGAATAAATGAGTTCGTAGTCAGACAGAGACCTTTTAACTGTTGAACCCACAAATTTTCCTGATACACGTATGATATAGTGGCTCAATTCCTTTGTTTACTGATCGGGAACTTGTGACACAATAGTAATTTTTCACCCCCCTTCTTTACGCAGGGCTTCTTAACCGTGAAGGCCACCAATAGCCGCAGCGTTAGACTCTGGTTCTCTCTCTCTCTCTCTCTCTCTCTCTTGTCAGACTTTGGTCTGATCTAGACAGTACTCTAGTTCTACTGGTACTGCGGATATCCTCATTTCTAGGTTTATCACGCAAATAAACCCCGAGCATAGCCCTCTCCATAGTTCACTGAAAGACCTAAGCTTCCTCATACGGCCAGCAGTGAAGGACCATGTCTCAGATCCATAAGTCATAACTGGCAACACGCACTAATTGTATTATATTTTTTAAATTTTGAGTTATACCTGACGAGATGTGTCGTAATCTTTTGACACTAAATTGAGACTAATTTCCTAAAGTTATGAGTTTACATTTCTGTAAGATAAGTGATTTATGGACAGTAACAAGTTTGAAAAGTACTTTTTTGAACCAAACAGGGCTAGGAACGTATACGTTGTCAAGGAATGCATGATTTTGAAATTCTTCTAAAGGCCTATACCCAGCAGTGGGTTTAAAAGCCTGAAAAAGAAGGACGAAAGAATAATATATTTTATTACTCACCATATCACCTTCAACAACATTAACATCTATAATCCCCAAGTGCTTAGCTCGAAGGGATCTTACGTGGTTCAGCCAAGTCTTTAACATTGTTTCTTGCGGCGGCCACTAACATCGAATGTGAAAATTAAAAAAAAAAAAAAATTTTTAAAAAAAACCAACAATTTTTTTTTTTTTTCCTCCAATGACAGCGACAAATGAATAAAAAAACGTGTGTGCAGTTCACACGCGGTAGAAATGAAACCTTCAAATGAAATGAAATACTAAATAAAAATATTTCCCGGCAAATTATTATTCAATACGATCGTTTTCAACCACAAGTATGGTATATTTTTTTATAGAATTATGGTGACAAACAAGCACACAGTCCACCTGATGGTGAGTGGATGATGTGGCCTATAGATTTCTAGTAAAAAGGGTCTCCGGTTCTCTACACTCACCATACGAAACACAGCAACTTTGAGCTGCAATTTTACGCTGATATTCTGTGAGAGCGGGCTCCTTCCCCGGTTGAACCGACGCATTCGTGATACAACTATACTACTTACATAGCTGCATGGCTCTACCACGTAAAAAGATAAAATAAAAGATATAAGATA